CCCCAAAGGGGTCACAACCCACAGGTTAAGAACCACTGCTCTACAGGGTCACTCAATCAGAACTGATTCAAAGAAAGCAGGTCTGGTGGTTTTGGTTAGTTGAGTATTAATACATTGAGATTAGGATTAAATGATTAGGCAAATACACTAAAAACTGATAGAAATTAAGAGGTGGAGCAAATGAAGGGGGAAGAAGAGAGAGTGGAGCACATCCTGGCCCACCAAGCCCTGAGGACATATTCCTGCTCAGAGCAGCCAATCGACAGAGAAGACCACATGGCCTGCCCCACTATGAGGCACGACATCCCTCACTGACCCATACCCCTAGAGGGGACAACACTGGAGACACTGTGGGAATTCTGCCTGATCAAATCCCACCACACAGAGGCAAAACAACAAGGGTGTGCAACAGAACAGCAAGGGGAACAGAGCAACGAAGTCCCCAGGGATTACCAAAAATAGACTTTGGGGCCAGGGCTTGGCGCCTTAACAGACTCAACTGGAAAACACGCCTAAAGGCCAACAAACAGTCCTTGAACTAACTACAAGCTTTTCTTTCTTGTTGCGTTGTGTTTTGTTATTGGTTTGAGGGTGTTGTTGGTTTTGTTGCTTGGTTTTCCTCTGTCTTGTTTTTGTGCATGTTATTTTCTCCGCAGGTCTGTCTTAAATAAGATAGGCTGGATGAACAATCTGGAGGAGAAAACAACGGGACTGACCGTTGGTGGGGTGGGGGCATGGGAAAGGGGGAGGTGGGAGGAAAGGTAGTGGTGTTAACAAACCCAGGGACAAGGGAACAAGTGATGCAAATCGGTGGTGAGGAGGGTGTAAGAGGCCTGGTAGGGGGTGATCAAGGGTAATGTAACCAAGAAGAATTACTGAAACACAAATGAAGACTGAGCATGACAGTAGGACAAGAGGAAAGTAAAAGGAAATAGAGGAAAGAGCTAGGAGGCAAAGGGCATTTACAGAGGTCTAAATAAAGGAATGTACATAGGTAAACACATATATGAGGATGAGGAAATAGATCTATGTGCATATATTTATAGGTTTAGTACTAAGATAGCAGATGGACATTGGGGCTCCACTCAAGTACTCCCTCAATGCAAGAATACTTGGTTCTATTAAACCGGCATTCTATGATGCTTCTCGACACAATCGCTGAAGACAAAGCGGGTGAATAAGCAAATGTGGTGAAGAAAGCTGATGGTGCCCGACTATCAAAAGATATAGTGTTTGGGGTCTTAAAGGCGGCCATCTAGCTCAGAAGCAACAAAATCCACATGGAAGAAGGACACCAGCCTGCATGCTCACAAGGTGCCGAAGGGATCAGGTATCAGGCACCAAAGAACAAAAAATCCTATCATTGTGAATGAGGGGGAGTGCAGAGTGGAGATCCAAAGCCCATCTGTAGGCAACTGGACATCCCCTTATGGAAGGATCTCGGGGAGGAGACTAGGAGGGTGCAATGTAGCAACAATGAAACATACAACTTTCCTCTAGTTGCTAAATACTTTCTCTCCCCCCACCCCCCATTATGATCCCAATTCTACCTTACAAATCTGGCTAAACCAGAGGATGTACACTGGTACAGATAGAACTGGAAACTCAGGGAATTCAGGGCGGATGATCCCTTCAGGACCAGTGGTGCGAGTGGCGATACCGGGAGGGTGGAGGGAGGGTGTGCTCGAAAGGGGGAACCAATTACAAGGGTCTACATATTACCTCCTCCCTGGGGGACAGACAACAGAAAAGTGGGTGATAGAAGATGTCGGACAGTGCAAGATATGACAAAATAATAAATTATAAATTATCAAGGGTTAATAAGGGAGAGGGGAGAGGGGAGGGAGGGGAAAAATGAGGAGCTTAAGTAGAGAGCAAATGTTTTGAGAATGATTAGGGCAATGAATGTACAAATGTGCTTGACACAATTGATGTATGTATGAATTGTGATAAGAGTTGTATGAGCCCCTAATAAAATGATTTTTTTTTAATTAAGAGGTGGAAATAAGAAAATGAACTAACCGCATTTTGTAGAAAGAAAGAACTTGATGAAAATAAGTTAAAAAAACCAACAACAGTGGTTCCATTATAACTGTAGATAATAACCAAAAGCATAAAGAAGGCGCCTACCCGGGAATTTCTTCAATGGACCACAAACAGGAATTAATTATGAGTGGCTAACACCAAGATTCAATGCCACCCAAAGTTAAATTAACCCTAAGCAACCATATGGTCTCCACAGGAGCTTCGTGAGCAGAAAACAGTATGAAGAAGGCAGGCAGGCAGGCAAGGAGGCAGGGAGGGCGAAGGGAGAGGAGGAAACATTTCCAATTAGCAAGTGCCCTTCCGAGAAATGCATCTCCACTGTGTGCTAGGTGTATGACAGAGAAGTTCGCATGGTGATAAGATTTTATACCCACACAAGCAGAATAGTGGGACACATTGTTATTTCATATCTTTTTGAAGGGTTGTATATATAGAATTTCATGAGCATATTCTGTCATGGCACACAAATCATACAAGCCGCAATATAAATTAAATGGAAGTAACAGGTCCCGCCCCACTTACTTAGTCTACATTAACATAAAAGTGATCGAATGGGTGGCACAGGGCTAAGGGCACTGGGCTAGGACGGCAAAGCCCCAGGATTTTGTTTTTTTTTAAAAGTTGTATGTTTTGAGGCAAGTCAATTAATCTATCGGTGTCAAGTGTCCTCAAATGGAGATAAATACTTGCGTAGATTGCTTATAGGAACACTGTATAATAACAGTAAGACAGCATAGCACGCTTGAAGGTAATCTAGAAATTCTCAAAGACTATCTGAAGATGTGCTATTACATATCCTAAATCTGTTGCCATAGTGTATAAAAAGGTGTTCCACGTCATTTAAAGAGAGAAAATCCTCACATTGTTAATTTCAGAGAACTATACCCTGAATATACAGTAAAAGGTTGAAAACTTTTATATTACAGTGTACTTTTGAAAAACCATAAATGACAAGAAAACTTATTACACACTGGTAAATTAAATGCCAGATAAATCTCAGGGGAAATAGCAAGTTAAAATAGGCCAAGCTTATTAATAAAATATTTTTCTGACTTTGACAGATTCTCTATTACGAGGCGGGGGGAACATAATAATTATATATTTTTCCATGGTCATAAACGTGGTCTAAAAAGGTACAATATATGAATGTTTGAATGATATACATACATTTAATATATGCATGTATGTAAGAAGCCCTAGCAGTGCTTAAGGCAGTCAGTTGCTAACCGAAAGGCCAGCTGTTCAAGCCCACCAGCCATTCCCAGCGCAAAGGATGCTGCAGTCGGCTTCTGACAGGAGGCACAGCCTTGGGGGTCCCGTGGCAGCATCTTCTGCGTTGCTTCGAATCAGAATTGACCCTGCAGCATTGGATTTGGTCTCAGAGTTTTATATACATGTACGTTGTATTCACAGATATATCGGAATTACAATTTTAAAAATTAGAAGCAGAGTGACTGCGTATAAGACTGAATCTAGCAAGATTAGTCCCATGTATTAGTCCCATGCATAGAAATATTGACCATTACTTAATTTCTTGATGATTAAGCCAATGATTATTAACATTTGAGTATCCATATCATTAAGTGTTAAGAGGAAACAGTTCAAAGAAAAAACACTGTTGGTGCCTTTATAGTTACAGAAATCGTAGGATTTTAGAACCAGAGAGATTTAAAAAGTCATTTTGCATAAGGCCGAAAAGAGAATCACCAGCTTATGCAAAATTCCATAGCTGGTTCCTGACCAGCCAGTCCCAGACCAGCAAAGGCTTAGTTAATAAAAACCTGTGCAATAATCTAACTAAATTAGAAAGCAGTACTTTAAATGATAGTACCTAATTTGCATCACTAGAAACAGTGGTCTTTGGAACAGAATTCATTAACATTAAATTTAAAAACTGTCCTCAGTACTTGAGTGCAAATTTAACAATTCATTATTTAAAAAATACTTAATAACTACTGCATCATATAAAAAGCATGTATTAAAAGTACAAAGAATTGCTAATTACTAGGATTTAAAAAATTGTTTTTCAAAGATTAGCAAAACAAAGATACCATCATAAATCTCTTGTGGTAAGTAATATTTTGGCCAAAAGATTATTAAAATGCCACATCAATTTCAGGTTCTTGGAGAGTTGTCCAATTAAGTCACAAGTCAAATATTGCTTAGATAGATGCATAGGAAATGAAAAACAAAATAAAGCCCAATGTAGAATACATTCAAAACAGTTATTTTGTAAAAGCCATGAAATAACCTTAAAGAAGTACTTTTACAGTGCAGGTGTGAAAAGGGAACGTTAACCACCTGAGACCTAAGATCGTCTCAGTGAGATGTTCTCGAGAGGACAGAGCAGGGAAATCCCCAAGCAAAGCTATATACATGGCAGAGATGGTCATTCTCTTGAATAGATAAGAAGACTAATTCCCAAAAGGCACACATTTAAATTCACACACACATTGTTAGGTTCATCTCTGAAATCAAGAGCAGGATTACTGACTACTTAGAGGACATCAAATGTCTCGCAAAGAAGTTAATGAGGTTTTAAAGGAAGGCATATAAAAAATTCTACCTTACAATACTTTATTCATAGATAAAATTAAAAACATTATTTTTAACTAATTAAAACAAGAATAATAGATAGCGGGTTGCCTGACGATCTGAGATTCACAAAAATTAGTATCACGCAAGACTAGTGTTTAACCCAAATTATCTTGATAATCAGTCTGGCCAAGCTGTGTCACTGCAATCAATGAACTCCAACACAAAGACTTCCTGGCGGGCAGCACCACGCAACATTTGTTATCGGTTTCTGCACCACTGAGCACCGCCACCAAAGGCTCTCAGGAGCTGAAGCCAGAGAGCAGTGAATCAGCTGCTCCGGCCCCGACGACCTGCCAAAGAGTCCCAGTGCCCAGGAACGACATGAAGTGTACAACCACATAGTCGAGGCTACTCACCTTGTCTTTGAAGATATGTGGATTTTGGTATATAAAGTCTCGGTAACTTTCTGTTCGCACTTTGTCCTGGGACAGAGAGGGGAAAACATCATGTTTACGGGATAGTCTGAACAAATACATATTTAAAAAGAAGATGAGCTATTTTTTATACACATTGCTGGTTTTTCCACAAATACCGTTTTCCTGGAAAAGTACGCTGATTTTTCTTTCCTCAAAGAATACGATAAAGAATAGAAGCAGCAACGACTCACAAAAGAAACTCCCACTTGTAGCACATCCCTGAGAGTCAACTAGGACCTAGACATTTAAAATGTAACAGGCTCCTCCTTTATTTCCGTAAGGCTTCAAGTGATAATTATGGGCAATACAGAATGAGATTAATAATTCAATCTTTAAATCGGGTCTGAATTCTAGAGCCCGATTCCCTGTGGAAGAGCAAGATTAAAATATTGGGAGGTGGGGGAGGGCCAAACTTGCTTCGTGTGAATACTGTAGTTACATATGAAAAATGAAGCTAAATCGAGTATGTTTTTCTGAGAAAGTCATTGATCACACCCTATCTGATTTATGAGCCCATTTTGTTTCTAGAAATTTGAGCACTAGGAAATGATGCTTACACACCAGTGAGCCTGCTGCCCACAGTATGAGGTTCCTACTAGAGTCTCACATGACAGATATTCACGTCTAGCACCTATGTTGCATCATGAACAGAAATGATCCCCTTTTAAATCACTGAGATTAAGACACAATCTGACATCAAATTAACCAGTAAGAGACTCTGCTGCCATGGAAGTAAAATATGAAAATGACCAAAAAAAGACTGTTATCCCAGAATGAGAATTCTGGTTAGGGATTTCAAATTCGATGAGAAAATAGTGGGCGTGCACTATGAGAATGTGAAATCCCAGCGCTAGAAAACATTTTATGGCAACACTGGATTTTCTTTTTAAAAGCATATAAAGTAGGTCTTTGTTAAAAGCAAGTCTTCTTATTTTCACTACCAGGTCTGAAAAGGGAAGGCACCCACAGGATTCCCATCTGGAAATCATTTCCAGTTGCTTGGTCAACAAAATTTTAAATCAAGCTTATTAAAGCTATCTCTGACCGTCATCTCTCAAAAATATTCAACAATCAAGTGCTTAAATAAATTCAAATGGATACTAATGATCTAATTTTTAAACTGTCCTTTTGTTTAAAAAAAAAAAGCCCTCCGTTCCATGTATGTAGACCTTTTATATACTCTCCTCCATCACAACAGGCAGTGATTCTTGCTGAAACAACACAATCTACAAAGGATGGGCATCAGTCAGCAGAGCACTGGCTTAGAAAGTGCTGCTCTGACTTAATCAATGGAATCCCCGCCACTGTCCTAACTCCACGCACTGCTGCTCAGCTGAGCCGTCCTCCCTCCAGCTCTGCCTCCGTTCATCGGCGGTCTTTCCTGCGCTCCCCTCGGTGCGACAGAACAAAAACAGAACACACACTATCGTGTACGTAGCAAAGCATCAATTGAGCCTTTGAAAGGAAAACTCACTTAGCTAAGGAATGAAAGACTAACCCTCTCGTGACCGTTTCTAAAACATAACTGTAACAGAAGACTGATTAATGCTTCAATTCAAAATAACGGGGTAATAAACAGAAGCAGAAGCATACTTGGCACCAGCCTGTTAAAAATGAAGAAACGCAAACGAACAGCAAAACGGGGGCTCACATCCCAAAGAGCAACAGGACAACTGGTGACGGTCAGCATGGGTCGTGGAGTTCTTCCTAAAGATGCTTTTCTTAATATATTTGTATTAAACATGAATGCAGCTAATCGCGGCAGATAAGTTACGTGTGTATGAGTCGATTTTATATGTGCAAAGAAGACAGTTTTGAAATTAATATGCTCAGGAAGGTGGACAGAATAGCTGAATCCTGTATAAAATGTGAGATAGTTAAGAAAAATAATTAACATTCAAAACAAGCTCTCAGAGAGAATGAGAAAAAACAAACAAACAAACCAACCAAAAAAATTCCACATTACTGAAAGGTACTCTGATCTGTGCCAATTGCTTACCAAGGTGAGCAATGATTCTGAAAACAGAGAAGGTGGTGACCTCGGAGTTAAGCTATCAGCCAACATTAACTCTTCTTCAGAAAAATATTAGGCAAAAGTGGCAAAGGATTTTTGGAAGTACACATAATGTGCTTTGGGAATGCAAGTATGTTATCTTCATCTTAACTTCGGAAAATAAAACCCTAACCTACTTTTATTGGTAATTATAATCAAAACCTTACACCAAAACAAAGTTATTAAAACACTTGAGACTAAGCAACAAAAAAAATCTAAAGCCTATTTCTATAAAGACCAGGTGATTCTAAGTATAAACATAGCTCTGGTCAATCTGATTTCTCAAATCTACGTTATTCATAAAAGTCAGGTGAGAGTATAGTCATAGTACCACCTGAAACTACTTATGAATGCTAAGAATTCTTTGAAGAAACAGAAAATATAGCTTTGTATATATAATATTTCATATTATCTCATAGTGTTCACCTTCGCAAAATATAAAATTAAGTAGATTCAAAATATAAAATTAAGTAGATCCATTATTTCTTATACACACTTATTCAAGCCTTCTCCAACAGGGAACCATTACCTAGTACCACAAGTATGGGTAACTAAAGTCCAGAGACTGACAGCAAAAACCAAACTCACTGCCATCAAGCCAATTCTGACGCATCGTGACCCTTACAGGGCAGGTAGAACTGCCCCATGAGTCCTGTATTTCTCCGTGGAGCAGTTTTGTGGTTTCGAACTGCCGCCTTGGAGTCTGCAGCCCAACAAGTTATCCACACTACACCACTAGGGCTCCCACAGTAAAACGGATTCTTACATAACTTTCTAAAAAGGAAGAAAAAAAATTTTTAAGGCTAAAAACTTTACTTTGGCACTTCCTAAGTTTATGCACATCAAAAGGGGCTTAACCACATCCTGTCCAGGTGAAGATCTTTTAGTCTGGGGCATTCTCATTGATTCGCTGCATCCAGGACAGAGATCTGTAAATGGTAAGGGCAAATACTGCACTGACAATACACATACCCACTGCGCCAAGTCTCAGTGACCTGCACCTGCCTGAAAAACAACATAATTTCCATACCTAGAAGCATTCAAGGGGTTCCATATACACTGTAGGGGTATTTTCAAAATTACAATTAAAAAAAAAAATATATATATATATATATATATAAATGATAAACAGATTTAGATGACCTCCTTTAAAGAAAATATTTTGGACACAATAAAACTAATTTTAACAACAAAAAAGGTCAATTTCTTTTCATTCATTCTAGACTTAAAATCATTGATTATTTTTAAGTTCACTATTTGTAATATTCTGCCATTGCTCCGGTGATAAGCAAAACCACAAGCCCAGCCAAGTGTGATGAATCTTTAGTAAAGCAGCACTGTGACGCTGCTGTCAAAGGCCCACGTAATTACAATCACTGTGACTCAGCAAACTTCCACTCTGAGCCTGCGAAAGTTACCTAACAAAATACGTAAGCGTTATTAAATATTCTTGGTTATTTTCACTGAATAGGCTTTATATAAGCTCAAACGAAAGAAGACGATCTTTTGATAACGGATAGAGTAGTAATTTTTGTTTGTTTTTAAGAAAAAGGACTGCTGAATGAATGAACATTTCAATATTCTAAAAATACTACTCTTTATATTCCAACTTTTACTTTATTCCAGTTAGACATTTCAGTTTCCTAGTTAAAATGACATCGTGCAGTTTTAAAATCAGAATACTTTATAAAAATGGGTAAAGAAGAAAATGAGTTCTATCTTATCTGTCCGTATTACCCTCAAAAGAAACGAAAAGCAAGCCGGTTTAAATACAGGAGCAGTTCAAACAGTTCATGGAAAAATTCCCTGATCTAATCATTCCATTTTCCACAAACATTTTGAAGTCCCTTCAAACTTGATTTGACCAATTAAGGAATGTGCTGATGATTCTAAATAATAACAATTTTAAAAAGTGCCATAACAATTGTGAGAATTATTAATCTTGGGAGTTTATACCAAGAATTATTGCCTGCCTGAACAGAAATCAATACTGTTGTTTAGAACATTACAATGAATCATCTCCTTTGTGCTGAAACAAATATAAATCTAATTGTTCCTATTTAATTGATAGTTGCTCTTGAAAGACTAAAATCAACAGCAATTATCTTTTTTCCTAATATTCTATTTAAATGAAAATGTGACTTATTAGTAATTACTCATAATGACCATAAGTGAAATTTATAATGCTGCTGCTGCTGCTGCTGTTTTTGCTAGAGGTTTCGGAAAGCAGTTCTCGGGCAGCCCCCGGCTGCGCTCACTCCGTTTCCGGTAGGATGGGCCTGGCACCGCGTGCGCTTTTCTAACCTTCAGCATCTCCTCGTGTATCCCATAATGCCCGTATGAGCTGAAGTAAACTCCGTCCTCATCCTCCTGGAGGTCCGCAATGGCGACGGATGGCGAGCACGTTCTGACATCTGCGTTCATCACAAAGTCCTGCGCAAATTGTCTGTAATCAATTTGAAATACACCCTTGAGACAGGTTTACTGGACCATGAAAGAGCAAGGCTAGAGGTGGAGGAGGAGGGGGGTGAGGAGCCTTTCCGGTCACAGGCAAGCCGCAGTCACCGAGAGCTCCCCCTGCTGGGGCCGAGGCGGTAGGGCGCCACAGCCCGTTTGCGCATTGCTGCTGCAAGGCAGAAAACCGCTGTCAACTGTGGGCTATTTGAGCGCCGCAGCTTCCACCTGAACAAAATAAGCACATTAGCTTTGCCCAGCTTCATCTTTTTACTGCTCCAAACTCATTTCCTACCAGCTGAATCAACACAGCATATTTCAACCCAATTTTTAAAAACCATCTCATCTCCTGAGAGGGTTCAGTGGGCAGAAAATGGACCCAAGTGGAGAATATTTACATACACCACCACCAAATACTCTAGTCCATAAACTCAGCTCCCTCAAACCGAGGCACATGAAGATTCTAGTAGGCATGCATGGGGGGCGGGGGGCACATGAGAAGGTAGTTGGAAGAGTTGGAGTTGGCAAACAAATCTCAGACTCACAGGAGGCCTAGGTGGGCTAGATTACTTCTGTTGGATGTAGGGCATACCCATCAAATGGATGGTCTGTAGGCAGTAGCAACCCACCAACACACCAGCAGCTGAAGCCAGCTCAGAGGCACGTCTGCAGTTGAGCAGCACTGGCATCCCATGGCCACCTCAGCCCTGTCCAGGCCGCCTACATCAGAAGCTCCCCGGGTACAAGAGCCCCACGAGTTTCTTGTTCTTGCTAAACCGTGAAAAGCACCACACTGGGCATATGATTACTCTACGGACACATCCCCTTGCACTGGCCTCTCTGATGAAATACATCGGCTGCATTCTGATCCTCTCATTGTAAAAGTCTCGATCCTGTGTTTCCCCCAAACCTAAAAAAACAGCAATCCGTCCACTTTCAAACCTACGCTAGGACATCCACTAGAGCAATATATTACAAACAGAATGCCAAAGGCAAGCATTATCAAGGAGAAAAATCACTCAACACTCACCAGAACAATTACAAAAATAACTACAAAGCTGTCCCTGAGATTAGGCTCCCTCTATCTGCAATGCATAAAAAAAAAAAAGGCTGCCATCTCTTTAACATAATAAAACTCTTTTTAATACAAGACTTCAAAAAATTCATGGGAAATTCCCATTATCATTCCTTTTCTCTGGGAGTTTTTTGAAGGCCCTGAGTCTATAACATGATTTCCTCTACTTTAGAGCCCTGCAAATTGCTAACATGCTCAGCTGCTAACCTAATGCTGGAAGCCCACGCCCACCCCACAGAGCCTCAGAAGAAAAGCCTGTCTACTTACTACTTCTTTTTTTTAAAGTTACTTCTGAAAGACCAGCACAGTTCTACTCTGACCCAAGTGGGGGCACACCATGTGTCAGCATTAATTCTACCACCATTATTATTTTGGGGATCTGAGCAACATGGCAAGAGCCCTGGTGATCAGTTAGGTAAATGCAAGATCAGCAATTTGAACCCACCAACCACTCCATGGGAAGAGGAGGCTTTTAAAAAATATATAAGATTGATAAATTACTTCATTCTTTGCAGATCTTCCTGGGCTCTAGCTAATGCAGCTTCAGCAGACAGTGCCCTGGCTTCCGTGTGCTTCAATTTTTCAACGAGAGATGCATTTTCACTGAGTCCATTAGGGTAGGAGAAGGGGACTGACACTGGCTCATAAAGGTCTTCCACATCTAAAGAAATACAGAGACGTCATCAGCCCAGCTTATAACACGGAACCATGAAGAAATGTTAGGAATCAGTTTATCCCAGGTGCCTGTTATATGCCCAAATGAGGGAAATCCGTAAATGTACTTTTGATTAAATAAATTCTTAACACCTGAGATGTTCTGACTTTAATTCAAAGAGTGCTGTTAGTCTGGTTTCTCTTTAGTCAGATAAAATGATAACATAAGTAAGTATTGATTATATTAAACCAAACCCAAGAAGGGGGGAAGAAAACGAAGGTGAGTGGAAAAATTCATATTTATTGAACATCACATATCTTTCAAGTACGTGGTATATATCTCGCCAGTCATAGAGCCTGAAGTTGAACAGGATGTGAAATCCATAAAAAATGTAAGCTTGTAGGAGGCTAAGGGCATTTATAGGGGTCTAAATAAAGGCATATACATATGTAAATATATTTATATATGAGGATGGGGAAATAGATCTATGTCACATATTTATAGGTTTAGTATTAAGGTAGCAGATAGGCATTGGGCCTCCACTCAAGTACTCCCTCAATGCAAGAATACTTGGTTCTATTAAACTGGCGTTCTATGATGCTCACCTTCCCAACACAATCACTGAAGACAAAGCGGGTGAATAAGTAAATATGGTGAAGAAAGATTATGGTTCCTGGCTATCAAAAGATATAACGTCTGGGGTCTTAAAGGCTTGAAGGTAAACAAGCGACCATCTAGCTCAGAAGCAACAACGGCCACATGGAAGAAGCACACCAGCCTGAATGATCACGAGGTGCCAAAGGGATCAGTAATCAGGCATGAAAGAACAAAAAATCATATCATTGTGTGCTCATCTCCCTGATACAATCGCTGAAGACAAATGGGTGCATAAGCAAATATGGTGAAGAAAGCTGATGGTCCCCGGCTATCAAAAGATGACTAGGGGGTAGGGGGTTGAGGCTGGGGTGAAGGGTGTATGTGAATACAGCAACATTAATCTGGGTTTTTTCCTGCTGTATTACTTCTGGCGATTCTTCTTCAGAGTTGGTACAAAATAGCTAAGCTTAGCAAATAAAATATATGATATTATAACTTTGAGATTACAACTTCACTTAGACTTATAAAAGCCACTAAATATACATAAATATATAATACCACTAAATTAATCTTTACTCAACCTAGATTACATAATAAAACTAGATTAGCAAAATACTGAGTCATTACTTTGTATAAAAGAAGATTCATTCACTATTTAATTCACCCAAAATTAATGAGAACAACAAAATTTAATCACAATTTTTAAAAATGCCTGAGAAGTGAAAAGTATCTCAATGTTGTCTAAAATTGACAACTCTCCAACACAGTGTTTAAATTCTTTTCCATGTTTGGTGACCTTTTAAAAAATTCTTTTCAATAGTTTGGTCATATATTTTCCCCACTTTTTAATAGTTTTTGGTCCATTGTTCCTCAATTTTTGAGCTTCCTACCTTAATATAAAAGATGCTAGGCTTTTGTGAAATAGTCCAAATATTAAACTACGTTTTCTTTAACAAGGTTCCTATTTTATTTAGATTTCATGAGTTTTTCCCTACCGTCCTTTGACTGTTTCAAGACTCCACCCAAGATACTACATCACATTCGGTCGTATGTCTTCCTTAAGCTCCTCGGCTGTGACGCTCTCAGCATCCCTTGTTTTTTGGTACAATGAGTTTTAAGGAGCAACGTTAAGGAATTCTGAAGGACGTTCCCCAGTTTTTATTTCTCATGGTTGGCCTGAGATTATGGCGCTTGGGGAAAAGCAGAAATAGGGAGTCATCCTTATCATGTCCCATCAACAGAAGAACCTGCTATTAACAGGGCTTAAGACTAATAATGTTAATCTTGATGCCCCAGCCAAGGTACAATTTGTCAGTGATCTCCATTATAAAGTTACAATCACTGTAAAATTACATTATACTTTGGTGGCCTAGTATCTTGATCATGTCTTTAATAACTTAACCATCTCCATATCCTCAAAGCCTAAGACCAAGCAGATGTTCAATATTTGCTGAAAGAAGGTGAAGGTGAAATAATTAGTAGTCAAGAATGATGGCACTTTCTTCCATCTGTCCCCACCAATGGCCAAGAGCACAGATAATGTAAGAGACTGCGGGCAGTGTACTCCCAAGCATGCCCAGTATAAGTCCCATTGTTTAACTGGGTCTCTGTTTTGGACCTCAATCATGGCATCTTCGTGTAAGTAACTTCCATATTTACTAACAAGAAACTCATTTATGAAGCCCTTACTATACAGCAGGGACTATGCAATTATGCATTTATCTTTGCAATAACGTTATAAACTAGGTCTCATTATCTTTTCATACATTAAAGTACTTTAATAAATTAAAATTAAGGGTGAAAGAGGTTAAGCTTATGCACCTTTAGAGAGTTAAGAGTGTGATACAGTAGGCCGTGTTTAGTGTATCACACGCAAGCTTCTGCTGCTGGGCAAGGTTATCTCCTCTTGGGAACTGTACCTGCCCTTTCTACTGTTCCCGGAACTTATCATATTCTACTTTGTATTATAATACCGCATAAACATGAACAAAAACAACACTGCTACTGCACTCTGAGGCATTTAAAACACTATTTTCAGCCTGTGAGCATTCAATAGTTAACTCTGAATTTAGAAAATCATGAGAATTGGTGACTGGTGCATTGTCATTCATCATATAGAACACTAGGGCCACACTGAAGAAATAAGATTAAAATGATGCTGTGAATTTTGGGAAAGAGATCACTCGGGAAATCATTTACTTTTATAGCTAGAAAGTCTCAGAAATCTGGCCCTAACTCCTCACTTTACCATGAAAACACTTGAAACCAAAAAGCTTAGTGCTTTATCTATTAAGATTCTTTTTTTTTTTAAATCATTTTATTGGGGACTCGTACAACTCTTATCACAATCTATACATAAATTGAATCAGGCATGTCTATTAAAATTCTTATTGCAACAGTACATAATCACAATTTAGGTTGAGACCTCCCAAGGAAATTGGAAGTTTTTAAATAAACTACTCAAATACAGTCAAACACTCACGTGTTGCCGTGTGCTCATTTGTGACGGTCTTGCTGATCAGAAAGCAAACCCTCTGTAAGAATGAGTAGTTTGCCTCCTATAGATTTGATCCATAAAGCATCTAGCTGAGGCCAGCAGGAAGTCCACATTTATTCCTTCGACAAGGAATGGAACAAGGTACGGAGCTTCTTAAGTGCCACCGAATTTGCTCCAGCTCACCGCGACCCTCTATACAACAGGAAACAGACTACTCCTGAAACCCCTCACAGTGCTGGGGTGCTTGCGCCCACTGTTGCAGATACGGGGCCAATCCAATTCCTTGAGGGTGCGCCTTTTTCACCGACCTTCCATTAAACAGGTTGTCCTTTGCCAGGGACTGATGGCTCCCGCCGACAAAGTGTTCCAAGCACATGAGATAACATGTCTCCAGCCTCACTCCTAAGTGCTGCAGTTTCTCCAAGACACGTTTGCTTGTTCTTCTGGCAGTCCCGGTACTTTCCATAGGCTTTGCCAGCACCACAATGCTAATGCATCCATTCCACTCCTGCCTTCCTTCCTCTTGCCCAGCCTTCATATACCTATAAGGCAACCGAAAATACCATGGCTTGGGTCAGGTGACGTATTTGCTACTTTTAACACTTTGAAGAGGCCTTTTGCAGCAGATTTCCCCAATGCAGTATGTCTGACTTCTTGCCTGCTGCTTCCATAAGCATTGACTGTGGATCCAAATGAAACGAAATCCTTATCACTTGAGTTTTTTTCCTATTTATCATGAGGCTTTTGAATTCCTTTACAATGAGTTGTAACCCATACTGACATCTTTGATTTTCATCAGTAAGTGAAATGCTTCAACTTCTCTTCATGTTCAGCAAGCAAGACTGCGGCTACGTGTTGCAGGTTGAAAATGAGCATCCGAGAGCTGCTTTCTTCATAAACTCCAGATCTCAGATTATCTGCTTGGAATACACTGACTACATATGATGAAAGGAAGTAACCTGATGGGGCATCTTTCTTGATTTTAAACCCTGCAGTATACCCTCGATCTGTATGAAAACGACCTCTTCGTCCATGTATAAATTCCCCATGAGCACAACTAAGTGTTCTGGCCCAGAGTTGAATGCCTTTGCATTGTTGATAAAATACATTGCCAGCTAAGATCCACCCATCAGCAATGACATCCCTACTTCCATGTCCTCTACTGAATCCGGCTTGAATTTCTAGCACCTTCCTGTCAACGTACTGCTGCAACCATTTTTAACTTTCTTGTGCAAAATTTTACTTGTATGTGATATTAATGATACTGTTCCTTAATTTCCTCATCGTTAGCTCACTTTTCTTTGGAGTGGGCACAAATACAGATCTCTTCCAGTCGGATGGCCATGTAGGGTATCTTCCAAATTCTTGGTATAGATTAGAAAATGCTTCCAGGCCTCCCATCAGTTTGTGGGAAAATTTCAGTTAGTATTCCATCAATTCCTAGAACCATGTTTTTCACCATTATCTTCAGCGAAGCTTGGAATTCTTCCTTCAGTACCATAAGTTCTTGATCATGTGCTACCTTTTAAAATGGCTGAATGACAATACTTTTTGGAATGAAGACTGCATTTCTTCCATCTTTTTTTAAAAATCATTGTATTGTGGGCTCATACAGCTCTTATCACAATCCATCCATCCTTTCATTGTGTCAAGCACATTTGTTGCAATCATCAATTTCAAAACATTTTCTTTCAACTTGAACCCTTAGTATCAGCTCATTTCCCCCCCTCCTTCTCCCACCCTTGATAATTTATAAATTATTTTTTCATGTCATACACTGACCGATATCTCTCTTCACCCACTTTTCTGTTATATGTAGATGATTGTGACTGGTTCCCCCTTTATCCCCGCACCTTCCCTTTACCCTCCTGGTATTGCTATTCTCATTATTGTTCCTGAGGGGTTTATCTGCCTTGGATTCCCTGTGTTTCTAGCTCTTATCTATACCCATGTGCATGCTCTGGTCTAGCTGGATTTGTAAGGTAGAACTGGGGTCATGGCAGTGGGGGAAAGGGAGCTTTAAAGAACTAGAGGAAAGTTGTATGTTTCATCGGTGCTAAACTGCGCCCTGACTGGCATCTCTTCCTTGTGATCCTTCTGTAAGGGTATGTCCAATTGTCTACAGTTGGGCTTTGAGTCTCCACTCTGCACTCCCCCTCATTCGCATTGATGTGATTTTTTTGTTCTGGGTCTTTGATGCCTGACGCCTGCTCCCACTGACACCTCATGATCACACAGGCTGGGGTAATTCTTCCATGTGGACTTTGTTGCTTCTCAGCTAGATGGCTGCTTGTTTGTCTTCAAGACTTTAAGACCCCAGACACTATATCTTTTGGTAACCGGGCACCATCAGCTTTCTTCACCACATTTGCTAAGCACCCATTTTGTCTTCAGCAATTGGGTCGGGAAGGTGAACATCATGGAATGCCCAGTTATTAGAACAAAGTGTTCTTGTGTTGAGGGAGTACTTGAGTAGAGGCCCAATGTCCATCTGCTACCTTAATACTTAACATAAAAATATATGTACATAGATATATTTCCCTATTATTATATATACATATACTTACATATGTACATGCTTGTATTTAGACCTGCCTCCTAGTTCTTTCCTCTTGTCCCACTATCATGTTTGGCCTTCATCAGGTTTCAATGATTCCTCTCAGTTACATCGCCCTTGATCAAGCCCTACCAGGCATCCTATGCCTTCTCACCATCAATGATCCCTCTCAGTTACATCGCCCTTGATCAAGCCCTACCAGGCATCCTATGCCTTCTGGCCATCAATTTTAGATCACCTGTTCCCCTTCTTCTTTCTTTAAAGGGTAAGTTTTTGTTTTATTTTTGAATGGTAAAAGGAAAATATTGGCAGAAAAAAAAGTCCAATAGAATAAATGAAGTATGGGCATGCAAGTATGTGGGAAGCAGACGTGTAAAAACATCATGACCAAGCAGTAATAGAGGACAGTAGATTTTACCTCAATGTAAACTCCTCATGGGACTGGAAAATAAGTAAAAACTAGGGGCTATATGGTTATTGCTTCAGAGAAAGTTAAGACATTCTTCAATCTCCCCCCTTTCTCTTAGATACAGTATTGGGTCCTTGGGTCCTAAGGAGCCCTGATGGCACAGTAATTTAAGTGCTTGGCTACTAAGAAACAATTCATGGTTTGAAGCTACCAGCCACTCCACAGGAGAAAGATATGGCAGTCCACTTCTGTAAAAATTACAGCCTTAGGAAATCCTACGAGGCAATCCCACTCTCCCATCTTCTTTAGCTGTTCCTCGAATCAGTCAACATTTCGCCCATGTCGCTGCCTGGTGCCATCGGGTCATTCCGACTCACAGCAATGCTACGTACATCAGATGGAAGCGCTGCCCAGTCCTGTGCCTCCTCACCATTGCTCTTATGTTCGATCCCACTGATGGAGCCACTGTGTCAATCCAAAATGAGGAAGACCTTCAAATCTTCCTTTTTCTCCGCCATGCAATTTGCTCTAGAATCCTTCAATACTGAGGCTCAAAGCTTGGGTTTTTCATTATGTCTCTCATTTGGAGATGCGCCGGGGATGTTCCCTCCTTTATGGCTTTTCTACCTCCATGTCTTTGCATATCTCACTGTAATGTTTTATTTTATGGTTCTCAAGTTGCCATTTGACATTTTCTGTTTACCTTGTCAGTTATATCATGTCTTCCATTTGCTTTAGTTAATCTACATTTCATAGCGAGTTTCACAGCCTCTTCTGATTCCACTTTGGTCTTTTCGTATGGTTCTCAGTGGCTAATCCCTCAGAAATGACCAACTAGTCATTCTCTCTGTTCTTAGTCTGCAAGCTGTGTGGCAACTTGTTCACCATGGGTGACCGCTCGTATATGAACTACCAGAGGCACAGCATCCAGAATCACAGCAAAATGCAATTCCCCACAGCATAGCAAACTAACAGGTAAGTGGGAGGGTCAGAGCAAGTAACTGAACGAGAAAATTATATTCATAAAGTCAGGAAAGCTGATGAGTGCAAGAAGGTAAACCTTTGAAAAGTTGAGTGTAATCTATCCAGTTTGAAACAAAATCTAAACAAATTCACTGTCTTGAGAAATTACCCCCCAAAAAAAATTAAAAAAAAAAAGAAATTACCAATCTGAAAGTAACAGAGGAACTGTAGCAACTATTAAAACCACTTTAAGGCTTCTGGACTCTGTGTCCATCAACTAAAATGGAATCTCTCAAGATTCCTATGTTTCACAATATTGTACACAAAATGTTTCAGCAGGTTCCTATCTCCACATTCCTTCCTGAGGATTGCTAGGGCGACCGTTAGTTTTTAAGCCACTTAAAAAAACAAAAACCACCAGAAACCTACTACTTGATGTGATCTTTTTTAGGTAATTCAGGAAATCACACATTTTCCTAGGACTGAACCATGATTTTGCCAAAACAAATAGTTAAAGTGCACATAGTATGTTCTTCTTACCAAACTGGAGTAAAAGATCATCTTCTAATACTGGCTTCAAATATTCTTCTTTCTCCCAAGGCACTGGGTTGTAGATGGAATTCATATACTCAACTGTAGGATTCTGCATATAAAATTAATTGCATGTATCTTTCGTGAATGAAACTGCAAAGTAATTGCTAAACAAAAACTACAGAAATTAGACAAAAAAAGGAAATCGGGTCTATACTTAACACAATCAGTCTATCTATGATGAGTCTCTATTCACCGATCATTTTTATCAGCTTGTTTCATAAACACTTCCAATGCAGAGTCTGGATCCAGGGACAGTTACAACATAAGATATTCATTCACTCAAAGGACCTCCCCCACACAAAAAAAGCCTACAAAATACTTTACAACGCACTTGATGTCATTTTTAATTCACTGAAATATTATCTATCAGTATTTTCTATTTGGAAAAAAAACAAACACAAGATCTTGAAAGACATTCTGTTAAGATTGGTCTTGAGTTCTAAGGGCATTGTCACACTGCTTAGTTTCAATCCGACAGACGCAACAGTAAGGACAGCGCCCTGGGCCGCTCGGCAAGGAGGTGGGGTTCCAGTGCACCAGGCCCTCTGTTCCGTAAAGACTGACAGTCCGGGAAACACTGCAGGGCAGTCCCATTTCGTTTTATAGGGTAGCTATGAGTTGGAATTTGACTCAATAGCTAAGGCTTTGGGGTGAGATGCAAGGGATATGTCATCTGACACCAAACTGTGTTCCACAGAATGGCCTAAGAGGCACTGCAATGTTGCTAAAAATGACAATTACGTACCATCTATAAATGCGTTTGCTTGGTACGTCTTATGGTGCTCGTTCCTAATACCTGTGATTTTGACAGTATGCCGAGTGCCACCTTTCACTGTCTCCTTTAATACAAGAATGAGTCGAACAGTATCGCCACTTGGGTTCCAGTTCCTACATGCACTGGTTTCTTTCAAACAAAACATGAGAAGTGCCTGGAGGCAAATTTTCTCAGCAATACACTTGTCTTGATCTTGAGAAGATGTCTTTGGGAAAAAAAGACACACTTTTTGGTGCCATCAAAAAACCGGACTTTGAAAAAAAGAAGGAAAAAAAAAACGCTTTGAGGCCTGGGCTAGCCCCAAAGTTGCATCAAAATTCAAGTGGACATCTTCCCAAGTCATTAAAGCTTTGCAACAAGTGTACGAGCATGCTGCCCCACAAAACACAATGGGTCTTTTAACGCATCAAGCCTTTTAAGGATGGTCAGATGAGTTAGGAAAGGGAAGATCACTGGACAAATGAAGAAATGGGCTGAGGTCCAGAAAACGGTGGAAGACGACACGAGAATCCCCATTGACGTGACTGCTATGAGAGCTGGGATCACAGTTCTTATTTTAAGTGAACATCTTTGGCCGGGCAAACTCTCAGCTGATCTTTCCATGTCATTTAAGCCTGGGCCAAACTAATGACCACACCTTCATGGGGCACAGGGAAACCACGAATGAATCTTGGATTAGCCAAGACAACTCAGAGAGCAGGGTTCAAGCTGCTTAACAGTAGCTTCCCAGGTCACCTGCTGGGCCGGTTCAATTCAAGGCAGAGAGGTCAGCTCAGAAGAGTTGTGGGGACTGTTCTTTGGGGTTCCAGCGAGACAATCTTGGTAGATTTCTCAAAGGACACAAGACAATCAAGCACAGGGGCTTATTATAAGTGAGTTTATAAGAGAACTGAAACTATTGGTGAGAGAAAAGCAGCAAAGTTGTGATCAAGGAATTTAATTCCATCACACAAATGTAACTGCTCATTCTTTGATGGTGGCAAGGCTGCCCTGATGGGAGCTTCATTGGGAACGGTTCTCCCATCCACCCCAGGGCGCGAATCTTGCCTTTTCACATGGTTTCGTGGTCTCCAAACTCAAATAACTATGAAAAGAAACACGAAGGTTTTAGGACCTTGAGGAAGTCACAACTGTCCGGTTGCCTCGGTGTACATGCACACGGGTGAACCCAGTTTGGGGGGGGGGGGCGCGGCATTAAGAGAGGAAAGCATGGCTTCCCGAAGTGTGCGGCCTTGGAGGTCAGGTCGCGCAATGACGGCTTCCCTGGTAATTCAAGTTTCCTCTTACTTTGTGGCGGAGCGGTTACGCATTAGGCTGCTGACCACAAGGTCGGCCATCTGAAACCACCAGCCGAGAAAGAAGAGGCTTTCAACTCCCAAAGCCACAGTCTCGGAAGCCCACAAGGGCAGTTCCACCCTCTTTTTTTTTTCTTTTTTAAACCTTTTATTAGGGGCTCATACAACTGTTATCGCAATCCATACACACATCAATTGTGTAAAGCGCATGTGTACATCATTCTCAAAACATTTTCTCTCCACTTAAACCCCCGACTTTAGGTCCTCATTTTTCCCCTCCCTCCCCGCTGCCCTCTCCCTCATGAGCCCTTGATAGTTTATAAATGGGTATTTTGTCATATCTTGCCCTGTCCGACATCTCCCTCTCTTACATGGTGACTGTGACTCAAAATCAACTTGACGGCAGGGGGGAAAAATTATTTTGTAGCTATACTTTCTTGTTGGTCAATTGATAGTCATTATGCTATTTCCCTAGTTTCTGCACAGAGTTATAAATTAAGCTACCAGTTAAAAGAAAATTAAGCCACCAACTTACCTTAAGTCTGATAAAATTGATTAGCTTAATATAGCCATAAAATTCCAGACCTACAGAGGAAGGGGAGGAAAAAAAGATTGGCAAACTGACCTCTTCTACAGCGTATTCTTTGGTTAGACAACATTTCCATCCTTTCGACTATGACTTATAATGTTTTTAATTTCCTTCTAAGATTTGGAACAGTAGCTTGGATAATGCTAAATGTTTTAATTGAGAAACAGCCATCAATGACTTTTTTTAGTGTTTTCCTTATATTTCTGAAAATATAGTAAACATTTTTAAAACCGAACTAATTTTTCAGAAAAATACACATTAAATTCTCAATTATGCCAAGCACTTTCCTGTTAACATTAGAGGTGAGAGTTTCCAAAATACCCATTGCTAGGGCTCCTACCAAATTGCAATTCTGATAGGACATGAAATAGAGACCCTGTGGTGGCTTTTCCATAAAATTCAACGATGGGAGCGAAAGCCCTCTGGGTCACGGGCTCACATGTCTTCAGATGAGCAGGTGCAGTTGAACTTATGTTTTACACACATATTACATCACATTTTCCATACAATCGACTTAATGGTTGCAGTTTTCCAGTAAAGTCCTGGCTGGTTGTTAGTAAACACAAGAACCAAAAACTTAATACTCTCTTTAATTTTCATGGAATAATGTCATCCTTCGCCCCCATCTAAGGTGAGCAAAGGAGTGCTTTACTTTTTGCCTAGCAAGTTGTAACAGGAGCATCCATTGAACAGTTTACTTTGTTTGCAGCATGTTTTGTAGTATTTACCACCTTAACTTCATCACCCCCTCTCCCATCCCTCTTACCAAACTTATTAAAATTCAGCCTTGGAAGCATGATCCTAAAACTGGACAAACTAATTTTGGTATCCTGCCTTTTCTTTCCCAGAAACTCAACATCTGTTCTTCTTCCCACATCTTCTTCACCTTTCTGGATTTTTCCTATTCATTTTCCTTCACCCTAGTATTAAAAGCTGAACATGTCCCTGTGACAGAAAGGCAGGCCCTGATGTTCTCTGGGTGGTCTTTTTCCATAATGACCCATCTCCTGTCCCAGAGCCCACCTCAACTCTTGCTGCCCAACATGAGACAACACCATCACACGGCCCACTCATCCTTTACATAGTGAAGCCAATATAAGCTCACATACATATAGTGAATCTTGTCTAGAAGAATGCCTTATGAATCTTTCCTCAAAGGTCACTTGTCAAAAAGACTTACGTCCATCTCCATGAGATGAGCTGTTCCCTGACATTTCACAAGACTGGACTTACATAGAAAAGGGATGGTTTGAAAAAGTATAAGGTTTGAAATTCATAGCCAAACATTGTCTTTGAGAACACTCACCATGTTTATGGACCATGTTATCAATATTAAACTGGTGCTCAGATTTACAGTGGGAAAATGTTTCTTCGGCAGATGTGAATAACCTGAAAAATCAAACAGCATCATGAAATAAGCCCCAGAAATATACTGATTCCATCCTAAATAAAAAGAAAAAAGAAATCTGTCCCCCCTGCTGGTTTCTAGTTTCAGTTACGGTTAAGAACCAACCAAGCCCTTTATGGGTGAGGAGCAGGGACTGCAGCGGCCTGGACAAGCGTTTCGACTTCACCTCTGAGAGCAAGGGAACTCCTCTTTAAATCCCAAAAGCTAACTGGTTGTGACAAACTTATGTGTAAACTTGTCACACAGCTTTTCAGAGAGTGCCCTCGGATAGATGGTGCTTCTCTCTGGTCATTCCAGAAAATTCCCTGCTTGTGATTCTTTTCTCATCTTAGCATCGTCAACTGCTGCTTTGCACAGCTCATGTGGCTTTTAGAACGAAAGCATGTCATTTCACAGCTGGCACTGCCCAAAGTGCCAGAACATTTCAATAGTGATCTTGTCGCCTTCCCGGAGTACTTGCATTCCTGGCTCTGTGTGGCCCAAGCTTGGTGATGTGACTTGCAAAACTGACGGGCACAAGGAACGGAAGACCCAGCTGTTCATCGTAATCAAATGTTGGCTGAGCTAGGTTCTGTGCAGAAGTTATGGAGCCGATCGCAGAGCAGTGTTCAGGAAATACTACTTTATGATACCAAGAGTGCAGGTAGGGACACTGAGAACCTGGAGGAACCTCCACAAAGCAGCGCTGTGCTCACACATAAGGGACACTGGAAGAAGGTTTCCGAAGGGAATCCTGCCTAGTTCCAACTGTGTCTCTCTCACGCCCATCGAGCCAGAACATCAGCCAAAGGCAAAGCTTCTGGAGGTGAAGAGAACATTTTAAGGGGAACCCTGCGAGTTTGGGACGAAGACAAACCACAACTTTGCAACCTTGAGTACGTTAAGGATATTGCAGTCTGTTTTCCTTCTCCTTAAGTGGAAAAGGCACCAATTCTCTCTTCCCTTAGGAGAGGGAGCCCGTGCCTTAAACAAACAAAAACAAACAACAACAAAAAGACGGAACTAGAAGGCTATTTCGAGGGTCCCAGCCTCAACTGGAAATTTTACATGCAAATTCCCTCCACATCACAGAATGGTAACGCTGGGGGGACCCTTAGGGATCATCTAGTTCTGTGACTTCAAAACTTGTTTCTCATTAGCACCACCCAACAGTGTCTCTGTAAAAACCTAAGGGACGCCTTCAGCATCTCTATTGCTTGTCTCTTTTTAAGTGTCTCTCTTTTCAAGTGTCTCTCTTTTCAAGTGTCTCCAGTGGCAGGAGTGCACAATCGTATTTGGAAACCACTGATCCAGTCCAACCTTCTCGTTTTACTGAAAGGGAAACTGAGGCCTGCGGGCGTGGACTTGTACAATCAGGTTGACGGTTCACGGCTCCTGAAACCACAGGGTACGGGCATTCAAAGGCAAGCCACTCTGCTTCGACTCTGGACCAGTCTTTCCTGGACAGACACACCGAACCCACGCGGCCAGCAACCCTAAGGCTGAGGCCGGGCACTGAGAGGGACGAACCTGTCACAGAACAGGCAGGGAGTCTGCCGCTTGTCGTGGGGGTGCTCAGCCTCGTCCTCATCCTCCCAGGCGGCCTCGTCCCCGCTGTCCGACAGCTCTGGCAGGTCCTCCTCATCCTCCACGGCGCCCCGGCCGCCTAGCACACGCACAACCATCAGGTGTGTCTGGGGCACCCGGAGATCGGGGTGGAGAGGGTTCCCCTCCCCGCCCGCCCGCACCCA